AATTAAATAGAATGGAACATAAAAGATAGGACAAAGTAAAAGAGGATAGAATAGAATTGAATAGAATGATGCAAAACCAAATTTTATTAAGAAAAAGCAATTGAAGCAATACTTGACTAAATATCCAAAGGATCCTTATCAAATAGATTGAAATAGATTGAAATAAAAATATCTAAGTAGATTTTAGGATTTTATTTTTATTTGATAAGTGTAATTATATTCAAATTTGTTGTACTATTTTTTAACTAAGAAATTGAGAGGTAAGTAAATTTTCAAGCAAGATCAATAATTTAATCAATAGATATTAGGATTCTAATTTGATTTAGAGTTTAGAATTTGTCTAAGGTTTGGTTTATGATTTAGGATTTGTCTAGGATTTAATTTAGGATTTATTTAGGATTTGATTTAAGGTTTGATGTTTGCTTAGGATTTAGGATTTGGCCTAGGATTTGATTGAATTCCATTAGGATTTTAATTAGAATTAAATAAGAACTTGATTGAGATCTATATAAGATATATTTTTTTATTATTCTAAAATTCTTTAAGGATTTTTTAAAGATTCTTTTAAGATTTATTATGGATTTCTTTTGAACTCCTTTAAGATTTCTTATTGTTTCTTTTGTAATTTTCTTAAGGTTTCTTTTGAATTTGATTAAAGATTATTTTATTATTATTAAAGATTTAATTAAAATTATTTAATATTCTATTAGAATTAAGATTTTATTATTGTAATTTCCATTCTACCTTTCAAAGTCAAGTATTTGGTGTATTTTTGAGGAAGACTTAATGTAATACAACAACGTGATGAAGATAAAGATCCTTAAGAACAACATGTCCTTCCTCGAGTAGATGGCAAGATATAATGTGTTTGGTATCATGATCTTAAAAAAGATTCTTAATATTTAGTGATTTTATTAGATATAAAAATAATACTTGATGGTATTTCAATTTTTTTATTTGAAGAGAATTATATAAGCCTCGACAATAATTAAATAACATAGTAGTCTACTTGCCTTAGTATGGAATATTATTAAAGGATGTGGGATCTATCAACCATCTTTAAATTAAACAAAGATCAAGGTATGTGGCAAATATAATTTGATGCATCTTAGATTTCTTCAATGTATGATGACCACTTCTAGCAGAATACATTCTTAGAAGGAGACGTAATGTCACAAACATATATATTTACTCCAATAATTATCTATATGATTAAGTAGAAATAGGTAAAAATAAATTAATTTTATAATATCTTTTAGAATAGCTTTCTAAAAGCTTTATAGACACTATTTTGACTTTATATGTATTTACAATTAATTGGTAGACTAAAAATTTAGTTAACAAATTAGCTATGTGACACACGTATTGATAGCTTGTGGAACAAACTAACTATTTGGTGCACATATACATAACTTGCCTTGCAAATTAAGTCATGTGTCTAACAAAGTCAATACGTGTTGGAGGTCCTATAGGCCATGAAACTCTTTGTTAGAAAGTATATATGGACGTTGTTGTATTACATAGCATTTGGCTTGAGAATGCATCGGGCACTTGGCTATAAAAGATAAAAAGAAAATTGCAACAACAAGTCCTAACAACTTTAATAGATTCTTAATTAAATTATAATTGAAGATTAGCAAATATAATCAAACATCAATTAAATTCAATTAAAATTTTAATGAAATTATACAAGAAATACAAAGAATGCTTAGAGATCCTTTTAAAAAATCATAAAGAAATAACATAAAAGTTCAAAAAAAATATACTAAAATAAAAATCTTAATAAAATATTAAAATAAAAACTTTAATTAAATGCTAATCAAAACCTAATCAAACCTTGGTCAAATCCTAATCAAACCTTAGTCAAATCTTAAATGGTCTTAACCAAATCTTAGACAAATCCTAATCAAATTCCAAACAAATCTTAAATAAATCTTAGTCAAATCCTAAATAAGCCTAATCAAATCTTAAATAAATCTTAATCAAATTCTAAAGAAATCCTAAATAAGTCCTAATTAAATCTTAAACAAATCCTAAAAAAATCCTAGTCAAACCATAATCAAATCCTAATCAAATCTTAAACAAATCCTAACCAAACCCTAAACAAATCCTAGTCAAATTCTAGACAAATCCTAAATAAGTCCTAATCAAACCTTAGAAAAATCCTAGACAAATCCTAATCAAATCTTAATCAAATCCTAATCAAATCATAAATAAATCCTAATCAAATCATAATCAAATCCTAAACAAATTCTAATCAAATCATAAATAAATCCTAATCAAATCATAATCAAATCCTAAACAAACTCTAATCAAATCCTAACCTAAATCAAATCCTAAATCAAATCCTAAACTCTAACCAAACTCTAACCAAACCAAACCCTAAGTCTTAACCAAATCTTAGACAAATCCTAGATAAACCTTAGTCAAACCTTAATTGAATCCTAAACAAATCTTAATCAAATCAAATCCTAAATCCTAACCAAACCCTAATCAATTCCAAGTAATTTCTATTGCAGATTTAGACCTTAATAACTAATAAATGAAACATTTATTTTAACTCAAAATTTACACATCTCTTAACAATTAAGTTGACAACAAGCAAAAAAAAGATTTAAAAATGATCAAAATTACCAAATAGACAATAACTTCAAAAATGTGCTCGGGTATCGATCGGCTTCCTTCTCGAACCTTAATGCCAATTCCTTAGAGAAAATTACTCCTAATTGAACCATTTCTTTGCTTCCAAAGTTTACAAACTTGTTAGAAATCAAGCTGACTACCTCTATGAAAAATATTTGCCTCAATCTAACTACTAGATTGACAAATATCTAAGAAAACCTCATTGGTCCTTAGAACCCTAAATTCCAAGACCATAATCCACAAAAACCTTCATGCCTTTCAATCTAACTATTTGATCAAATCCAGATTCATAGCACACATCAAGTACAACTACATCCACAAACCTAGAAATTTTCACTTATAGATCTATTGATAAACTTACAAAATTCTTCAAAAAGTATCATCCATTTTATTTCACAAATCCAAAGTCACCCAAAACAAATCTCAACTTTGCAAAGCTCTTACAAAGTCAATACTTACTCAAATCACTCCAAATCAATGACCAAAGAAACTTTATTAAGTCAACTTCCAAATCCTACTCTCCGATCTCCAAATAAACCTCAGAATTGTTGTCAAGGCTTGGTTTTGTGCCTTGGGGTCTGATTTTGACCCTAGTTGGTAACCAATCCTCTCGGGGTATCAACTCTTAGGTTTTTAAGGTAATTTTTGCCACAAACTACTCTTAACTTCTTTCCAAAGGTGTCTATATTATTTATATTTCTAATCTACCTTATTTTGCTCTAATTCTGGTCTTACAAATTGAGTAGAAGCCTATTTTGTAAAAAGTCAGCATTAGCACCTTTAATTTTTCTACCCCTTGATTATTATCTATTTTTTTAAGATAATTTTTTACAATATATTTGAAATAAGGCCTTCAAAAATATGATATTTTCTTCACCTTTTCACCTATTAGCCGTTTACATCACGACAATGTAAGAGTGAAGCCTTCTTTACTTTTGTCAACACCTTCTTAGTTCTTAGTCTTATTTCAAGTTTTTTTAGTCTTCTTGTCTTTAGTAATAGCCAATCTAATTTAATATTATATCATCTTTGAGTGATTTTTCAGCTTTTTTGAGTAGCATAAGAATATATTGATCATTTAGGTCTTTGAGATTCATATTGTTGATAGTTGATGTAATAGCAAATCTAATTACTTATAAACTTAGGATATTAATTTATAATAAATAGATTATTATATTTATTAAAAATACTAAATATATTTTTAGTATATACTATTTTATTTTTTATTAAAATTTTATATTTTTATGATTAAAATTTTAGATATAAGAATAATTTAATTAGACCATAGCCTTTTAAGAATGCTCAACCTAGTATCTTTATTGTAGAATAGTATTAGATTATTTATTTTTTATTTTTTTCACCTTTTAATATCAAAAAGATCAAAAAAAAACAACAAAAAATTTATTCTTATAATAATTTTTACAAGGTTCAATAAAAATCTTTTAATTATCAAAAAATAATAAATTAAATTATATTAGAAAATAAAAGATATTTTAATTTTGATAAATTGGATCTATCATAAAAGTTTATTTTTTCACCAATTTTATAAAAAACTTCAATAAATAAATAAATAATAAAATAATTCTTTTGTTCTTATTCTAATATGGAAGTCTTAAATATACTAATAAATTTTTATGTATTTGTAATCTTGATACATCTCAAACATCATAATCTAAACATTTATTAGATCCTCTAGAGTCACAACTTCAACACTTTGTTTAACTTTGCTCTTCAAATGCTCCTAAAATGCAATTTTTCCTTCTTAAAACTCCAAACTAATCTTTTTGCAAAATTTCATATAAAATTATTTATATATATATATATATATATAAAGATACCTTTGAACAAACAACTTCAACAAAGGATTATTAGATATCCATATACATAAATATATACATATAGGTGAATGTTAAATAAACCCATCCTTTTACTAAATAGACCCACTCTTGATGAAAAATATGGTAGTCATGATGAATGTGGTTGATTTTTATTGGTTGCAGATCCAATAGTAGATAAATGAATCTAGAAGTCATTTTTTTATTTTTATTTTTATTTTTTCCTATGATAATTTGGATGGATGGTTTGCTTTAGTAAAAACTTGGGTGTATTTAACATTCCCCAATAAATATATATATGTATATATATATATATATATATATAGTTACAAATTTCGACAACCCCTCCAATTGGCAGAAAACAGAGCTAAACAGAATCCTAGTTACTAGTGAGTTCAAAGATATTACTACCCGAGGAAACGCCGGGTGGGAGGAGCGGGGGTGACGACCCAGAGAGGGGCGGAGACCGGAGGAAACGACGGGCGAGGAGGCTTATCTGCTTTTGCCTTGGCAGCGAGCGTGTGTGCAGCAAGCAGCAGCAGCGCTGTGGCCCTTGGTGTGCCTCCTCCTGTAGTGCGTGGAGCTCCTCCTCTTCCTCAGCGCACAGTCGCTGGCTCTGGCTCTGGCTCGCTGTGTAGTGTCTCGTCGAGGGTGGATTGTCTTCTGGGGTGTTGTAATTTTTGTCTTTTTGGGTTTTGGGGTTGGAATTGGAGGAGGAATGCGTTGCGGCGGTGTTGTTATCTGAGGCAGAGAGAGGGCGAAAGGAAGAAGGGGGAGTTTGTGGGGAATCTGAACGTGAGCGCTGAGGGCACAAGGAGATAAGACGTTTGTATTGTTCGATGGGATCAGGAGTGGTGCCAGCTTGCCGGTGCTGCACCACAGTTTGTAGCACAAGCTCGGTGAAGAAGAGTAGCAGTGGAGTGAGCCGGCTTAGCGTGGTGCGGAGCATATATCTGCCATGGTACACGCGGGCGCCGCTGTCGCTGCATTCTGTGGGTGCCCCTGGGACCAGTAGTCGTGACTCGGCCGCTTCATTATGTATGGGTCTACTTCTCTTTTCTTTCTTGGTGCCCGAAAACCTTGAGGTTTGTTTGTGAGGTGTGGATTTGGCAGAAGTTCGATGGGTTGAGTGTCGTTTCCATGGCTTTTTTCCCTGGGTGTTCGTGTTGGTGCAAATTTTCTAGGTGGAGATGAGTGTCTCAGTCGGAGTATAAACCGGGGGTATGGTTGTGAGTACTGGCGTCTTGCTCGAGGCAACCCGAAAGAGTGTTTGCTGTTCGTGGCTGGGTATTCTGTGCCCTAGTGAACCAATTGAAGAATTTTGCTTCGGCGCATGTATCCTTTTTTCGGTTCTTGATTTTTGTTTTCAGTATGTATTCCAAATCGCATGCGTCATTACGCAAGGCTCATTTATGTATGTCTCAATCGAAGATTGTTCAGGACTCAAGAAGCTTTGTGTCTTGCATGATGTTCGCGTTTTTTCCATGTTCAAGTTGGTTTTCGTTGAGCAATTATTGACATGCTATTTCCTGACCTGTTAGTAGGTACCGGACTTTCAAGGCCCCCAAGGTTTAACAAAGTAGCAGCAAATGCGGTGCCCGATTTGGCAGAAGCTAGACCAGATATTGGAGGAGGAGAAGAAGAAAGTTTAGCTGAAGACTCAGATGTTGATTCAATTAGTGAATGGGAGCTTGATTTTTGCTCACGCCCGATATTGGATGCAAGGGGTAAAAAGTTGTGGGAGCTTGTGGTATGTGATAGTAGAAGGCAGCTACAATTTACTCGCTTCTTCCCGAACAACGTCATCAATAGTGTCACACTGCGAGATGCGTTAATGTATATTATGGATACTCTTGGGGTGCCTAAGCCAGAGAAGATTCGGTTTTTCAGGTGAGATCTGGGTCACTTTGCAACGCAATTACTCACATGTTTTCAATCTATCAGTGTCTTGATATTCAGCACAAGGCAGTATGTTTTCGCGCGTTATTTTTTAAAATCTGTATAATGTGTTTCTCTTTTTCCTCCCCTTTGTCATGCAATTTTAGCGTACTAGCTCGAATGCCATGTTCGATTTATGTGCCAGTGTGCTCAATTGTAGTCCCTAACATCTGTTTAGGAGTAGCTCAACGATCTAGAAGATGCCTTGGGAACTCTGCAAGATAGTGCAAGAACATGACTTTGCTTGCTCCATGATTATACTGCTGTTGCTCACTTCCTGTGATTCTTATATTGGGCTTCATTGGACAGGTCTCAAATGCAGACCATCATTACGAAGGCATGCAAAGAGCTCGATATTCAACCCGTTCCAAGTCAAAGGGTGATTACCTACTTATTTCCTCTTCTTGTAGTTTGAAACTGAGCCCATAGAAGGGTACACTTATTCAGAAGCTTGTACTCTTTACACTGGTGAGAGAGTCTTGATTAGTGTTTTATAATGTCTTCCAGAACATGAATCACGTTCATCAAGCTCTATCTCACTCTCCTTTGGCGATGTATGTCTAAAATGCGATACCACCGTGATCCTTGATTTATTGTATTCTTAACTTGGTTAATTTGGAGTTGCAGTGTGTGGCTCTTATAAAATGGTTGGAGGAACGGTTCGAGACGGTCTATAGCCAACATCCAGGGTATCAGGAAGGTGCTTCTCCATTACTGTTGCAGCAGCAATCCCTTCCCTTGGATTTGCCAGATGCTCTACGTGGTGAAGAGTGGGCATTTGTTCAGCTTCCATTTGAAGGTATGTTAGCACCCTGGTGAAGACGATATTTGCTAGACTATCAGACTTGCCATTTCTTCTTTCTCTTCTTTCTTTCTGTTTTGTTTTGGTTTTTTGGCATGCATCTGGAGTGGCTCCAACGTTATTGAGCTATTGCTTGCAGCTGTGTTGGAGGAGATGGAAGGTGTGGTGAGAGGCGATGTTTTTGGCAGTGTATTAGACCTTGGCACATTAAACATAGATTTATCTGGCGACATCATGATTCCAGGAGTTGCGGTAGCATCTTCACGTGCTACTCCACTTGCAGGTAAGTACTGACAATTGACCTCCTTACCGACCAGTGTATTTTGACAGAGAGAACCCATTTTTCTTTTAGCTACTTAGGTGCACTGTTGGTTGTTTCCTCTGATTTTCTGACTATGTTATGTAATGTATTCGCTGACAGTAGCGAGTGTTAGGGTAGCATACATAGTCCTCCAGAGTAGTGGGCAAGTAGTTCCTCATACCAACTATTTGGATATTATATAGTTACATTTGTCTTTTGACAAGGGGTTATTTCACCATGTAGTGAGAACCCTCTGTTCAACTTGGAATTTTGTGGAGGCGATGATTCTTTAATTAACTTATTCTAAACTAATTTTTGTGTGTGTGTGTGTGTGTTTATGTATTTGTTGTCCAGCGTGGACAAACGCTTTGGAACTAGCCTGTCTTGAAGTGGATACACAACGTTCTTGCCTTGTCCTCTCCACTGGCGTGGCAGATCGGTAAGTTTTCTTGTACAGCTCTTTTGTTCTTCATTTGAATCCTATCACTATGCCAGACAGTTCAGTCAGAACTCATTTTCTAGTGTACAGCCACAAATTTCAATGGCATCGAGGCAAAACAGAGGTAATGTTCTTTTATAAAGCTGTTATTTTTCGTCATTTTTTTTTAATCTTCTTGATTGAATCGTAGACATTTTATCTGTGGAACAGGTGGAGATATGCTTTCTACCGCAAAAGCCGACAGACGGATGCAGAAGGTGAAGCTTGGGAGGCAGCCAAGAAGAAATGTGGTGGTCTTCATTTCCTGGCTGTGCAATCGTCACTGGATTCGGAGCTTTGCACAGGATTCTGGTTACTGCTGGATACCCCAATTTCACCTGTGTAGTATATACACTCTCTATAGAATGCTGTGTTAGGGCACGCTTTTAGTTTAGAGCAGCCTCGGAATAGAAAAAGATTGAGTAAAGTCGATTTTACCTTAGGATTTTCACCAGGAAGTCAACTGTCCTGTGTTGTAAGAGTCTCGCTGTAATCTTAAGGCATAATTGTGTAATGGACGTGTTGGGCCGATATTCCAATTTTCCAGAGTTTGTGATGTAGCAGACTGTTCTTTCATTTGTGTTATTTCATTGTATGCACCATTGTGAGGCTGGTATACAGATGTTTCAGTGTACAGATGCATCTCAAACTACCCTGTATTACCCCAGCCTTCCGCATTGGATGAACATCATTCTCTAGGTACAAGTATGGGGCAGTTTTTCTCAGGCCTTCAATTTTTGGATCAACAATGAATTAATGACTGTAAATTACTTGTGTCAACACACACTATGCTACATATAGCTTTATCCACGGAATTTCCTGTTCTACATTCATAATAGAGGTACTCCATTTTGGAAGTGGCTCACAATTTTTTAAAGAAGCAAGGACATAAGTAAGCTCTCTCTTTGGTAGAAAGGTAATTTTTATGTTAGCAGATAGATTGTAAGGTGGCGTTGATAAGAAATGTTTTTTAAAAAAGAGATTTAATGTCAATAGAGAGTACTATTTTTAAAATAAATAAATAAATAAACTGTGCCCAACAGTGAGTGAGTGTCAAAATTTGATGACTGACCACATGAATCCCTCTCAATGCTTACAAAAATCAGTTAACTCATCCAGCATGTAAGTAAACTTGGTTACTACCCAAAACAAGAACAGTCCAACGTCTAGGTTTTAACATTTTGTTTTTAATTCTCATACAGTTTTCAAAAGGTGTTGAGCAATATTTTCATATAAAAATCACACAACACATATCATATTATTATTATTATTATTATTATTACATCATTCTTCTTGCATTTCCTATAGTGACACCACTTCTCTCCTCAAAAATAAAAGTGTGAACAATTATGTATATATATATACATATATATATAAAGCCTTTCCCTACCGCGAAAAAAATTCAGTCTACCGCTGAAATAAAAATATTGGAATTGAAAGGACGCGATAGAATATTCCCTTTTAGGTTCTGTATCCTATGGCCGAACCCAGAGCCATGGCAATCGGGGACCGAGGATCCCAGTGAACTATGGCGACCACAGCAAACCCATCTACTCGCTCTCTCGATCTCTCTTTTTGCCTTGCATTGCAGAGCAATTTCATCGCATGAGACTGATTGATTGAAGTTGAATGCTGTGATTGCGGCACCAGGGACCATGACGCAGGGGCTGCTGAAGAATCGCTACTGGGTACTCCGGCATGGTCGCAGCGTTCCAAACGAAGCTGGCCTCATCGTCTCGCATTTGGTATGGTTCGCTCGCATACCCTTCTTAGTAATGTTTCCTTTTTTTGTAATTGGAAGGTGTGCTTGTGGACATTACGACGTGGATTAATTCGTTTTTATTTTATTTTATTTTATTTTTATTATCATTTTTTTTCTTTTTTCTTTTTCTTTCTGGATTGGATCTACAATGCGTTTCCTGATTGTTGAGAATGGTCTCAGTGGATGTTATGTCTGGTCATAGAATCGGTTGTTTTTGATGAATATTGCGTTCTAGTGTTGAGAAAGGCGATTCCGGGAATGCTTTTTTAATTGAGCTCGTTTGAGAGAGGTCTAAGAAATATGTGTGTGTTGACAGAGTAATGGAGTTTTGCCGAATTATGGGCTCGCTCCCTCGGGATTCTTACAAGCAGAAGCAGCGGGGGCATTGTTCCTGAAGGTAATTAGCAGAGAGTGCAACATTCTACTCACGCTCGTGTCCATTTCATTAATTCATTAATCAACTAATTGTTTTAAAATGAGACTCATCTCAGCGTGTCAGTGGGCGCTTTTTTGAGTTATTGCAACAGAACACAAGTGCACGGTTCGTTAAGAGTTGAAAATCTGATTAAGAATTGAGTTGCGAATGAAATTAATTATTTTCTAAAATTCTAAAAGCCCTACAGTAGGTTCACAGGCGTTCCAGAGTTGATGTTTGTATTCAAATGGAAGACAATTGATCACACGCGACGATGCAATTTGCCAACTAGCAGGAACTGGAGATGGCTGGGATTCCACTCGACCAGGTTCGAATTTTTGCATCACCCTTCAGTAGAACATTAGAGACCGCAAAGGTCGTGGCTGATTCAATGGGTGTTCTCATGAACGCAAAACCTACAATAAAGGTATCTTCCTCCGGTTTTGATGAAGTCGTTATGTTTATCTCCACTTCTCGAATTCCAATACTTGTGACATCTTTACGTTAAGACTTACATTCCATTGAATAAAAGTTAATGCGGCGAATACTCATTTCGTTGTATGCGATTATATTGGTAAAACAGTTCCTTGAAGAATTACGGGAGCGGTACTTTGGTCCTCCTCTGGAGCTTCAGAGCCACGAACATGTGGGTTACCTAATATCTATTTTCTGATTCGTCTTGTAGTCCATTGCGCAGTGTCTTGGATACGGAAACTCCTTTTAGTAGAATCTAAATCGCCAAAGTGTTTTGTGTTTCTATCAGTATCCCGAGATATGGGCTATTGATGCTATCGACCCACTGGTCGGACCCGATGGAGGGGAAAGCGTAGCTGATGTTGCAATTCGAGTTTCTGAAGCTATCATGCAGATGGAATCCGAAGTGCAAGGGTTCGTCCTCATTTATTTCTTTGATCTTTTTCGAGACCTTTTGCATTTTTGTAGAAGAGTTCCAATAGTTTGTGGTGAGGCATCAGAAGTAAATAAACTAGGAAATATATACATATGCATATTTGTTTTTAAGAGGGAACAAGCTTTTATTAAGTATTATTAACAGGCTAATAGCAATTTGCACGCAGGTGTGGGGTTTTGGTGGTTAGTCATGGTGACACGCTTCAGATCTTGCAAACTGTCACGTATGCCGCTTTAGCTACAATGTCTAGTGCAGGGGATGGAACCCTAGCTTCTCTTTTTGCTGATGCCATTACCAGACCGGTTCTGTCACGACACCGTGAATATTCTCTGCTTACAGGAGAGCTTCGTCGACTAGCTGAACCTGTCAAAGACATCTGACTGCGTCTACACTGTTCTGTGGGTGACAGGAAGTCCTACACATGTTACGGTATTCTTGTGTCTTCGGTCTATCGGCAGGTTAAAACTTTGGTATATCAACAATTAGAACTTTAAATTGTTGAAATCCACCATGTGAGCAGGATGTAGCTTTTGTACTTCATATTCGAGGATGGTTAAATCGTGTCATTCATATTACACGAGAATAATTCAATCATAGTTCAGGATCGCTTACCCTTGGAACACCTTTGAGAATCATGGTGCCGCGTTGAGTTATCAAGGGTGAGCATGAGGTCTTAGTACAGTGGGTCACGGTCATGTGCCTTATAACAAGGGATGCGATGGAGCATACGTTGACTGTATACACCGCTATAACTTGTAGTGTTTCTTCCGCTCTTAATCTCCAAACGCAACTTCATATCAATTGCAATAGATTCGTGCAACCAAATTTCTCTTTCAGACCATTTTGAAGTATTCTCATAATTTTAAATCAAAAATATGTATGTATGTATGGATGTATGTATGTATGTATGTATGTATACTTTCACATAGTTTTCTATGTGAATTTTAGTTTTATTTCATCGAATGTATCAAAAAATAAATATTAGACAACTCAATGGTATCAATTAAGAACTAAGCTTATATGCTGTGTATTATTAAGGAACAATAAGCTAGCAGCCAAATGTATTTGCAGAGAGTTCACCACAACGATTCCCGGACGACTGGTGGTTCCCAGATTCCCAGCCATACCTATGGTTCGATGCGCCACGTGTTGCTGAAACTACTCTAAGAGATTTGTGCGTATGATCCGTCAGATTCAAAAAGAAATTTCACAGTTAATGGTGACAGATCATGCGGTACAGTAGTGAGTGAGGGACAGCCTTTCTTAAAGGTCAAGGCAACCACCGTGAAACAGCACTCAGGGTTTCGGAGCAACTCACTACCACATCTGGAACTAGAACAATGCGCAATGATGTTAACGCTGCGAAGGACACAGCAGAGAGGAGATTCACCACGTTGCTGCTATTTCCGGATAATCCCGTTGTCTGCCTCGATGCTTGTGACAGTCTACGGAGGTACGATTCCGCTACCTTTCGAAATGTTCTCACTTCTTTGTTTCTTGTTGCTACTGCCCTTTCTAGTAGTATGTGTTAGGTGAAGTTTGATGAGCAATACCAAATGTATGAATTCCGCTTTCGATCCTCAGATTTTTGATGATATGTCTTAGGGGTTCAATGTGTTGTGCTCCTGTTAGATCGCTTCAATATTTCATCTGCATCGGGTTCGACTCCAACCAGGAGTGACAGCAAAGTTAGGAGTTCCGATCACAAATTTCGCAGAATCTGTCCAACGTCCGCAAGCAATTAGTGTGGTAAGCTACAGCCCGATTCTCAGCAGCACAGGTCAATCTTCCTAACCAAATAGGCAATCATTCTACTTACATATTCGGATCTGTCGTTATACCGCTACCTTGGGCATTAAGCAGTGACTTAATTATTCATTTGCTCACTAATCAAGAGATATGATGGTTATTCACTAATCAAGAGATGACTTAATTATTCATTTGCTCATCCGCTAACCATCATCTCTTGATTGTGAAATATCATTGCCACCGTCCTGTTGCCAAAAACTTGTTTTAACCAACAGTTGCTCCACCAGGCTGCGGCTAGGAAATCATACACCACCACCACCACGGCCATTGCGAACATGACATTCCGTGCGGAGAGGCAACTAGTTTACGAATGGTACACGCCATCGCTACAGACATCGCTAGAATTTCTCAAGGCCGTGGGATTCAAAGTGCTTCGGCAGGAGAAAGCATTTGCGGAGATGGCGTGGGGGTCGTCGTCTTCCGCCAACAGGCTCTTCGTGGAGCAGATGGACGGGTATATTGATACCTGCCCGGATGTGTCCCCCGGGTACTCTGGATACCATGGTAATATCCGGATACTGGTGGAGGATGTGGATGCCGTGTACCAGGCGGCCATGGTTTTGAAGGGAGCCCGGGTATTGAAACCTTTAGAGGATCGATATTATGGATTGCGTGACTTCACCGTAGGTGGACCGTATGGACTGGCTCTTCGCTTTGCTACTCCCCTTCCTGGATTCACTGAAGATTAAACAAGTGCTAGAGTTGTAGAATGTGGTAGCAATTGTTCAATATTATCTCACGTGTTGTTGAAGTGTTCAAATACTTTTGCTTGTAGACATAATTTATAAATTTTAAGAACTTGAGCTGTAAAGAGTGCATTTCAATTTTTGAAACCTTGAAGAGTAAAAATTCAATAATAACTACTACAACAAAAAATATATATTAAAAAAAAAATGTTTTTGTTTTTGATTTTTTGATTTTTTTTTTTCATGTAGTTGTTTTAAGTGTAAACTTTAAGTGCATTTGTGTAGTAGATTAAGGATATGCAGAAAATTTAGGATTTGAAGCACACCCAAAATTATTTAAAAATGAATTATAAATTTGAAAAACCTTCAAAATTTTATATTTGATTACTGATAACTATATTTTCGAAAATGGAAATTTAATGTTTGTGTTTTCAGGTACTTAAGTATTACAAATATACATGTTTACATGCATACATAATAAATATATAAATATTTCAAAATTTTGGCCAAAAGCAAATAATGATGGCACTTTGTTATAATTATCTAACATCTAGTAAATGCATTGTTTAATTTCAAACGGTTTGCATAATGCACCAATCAATACATAAAATAAGGCTATTGTTAAATTGATCCAAACATTTACTAAATTGATCCCCCTATCATCACTAGTTGAGAATTTTTTTATGATGGTTAGGATGGGATGGGTTGATTTAGTAAATACTTGGGTCAATTTAATAATTCCCTAAAATAATCATAAAAAATAAAATATTCCTAATTTCTCATTGGCAGACACTTAATTGTAAAATGTAATGAAATATTCATGTTTGCATGTTCCACAACTAACTCTTTGACATGAATATTATATACTTATTATACATTTAATATATATATATATATATATATATTTATTTTTTTATCATAGAAAATTTAAGGATTTTACATTCAATCGTCTTATTCAAAGAATCATAGTATCTTTTACTTTATTGAATCTATTTCTTATTCACAAATTTCAATTTTACGATATAATTAATGACTTATAATTAATGACATACACCTATGTTAGTATTTTTTTTTCAAGTTATTATTTATTCATAAAATCTAAGATTGATTGAAATATCTTCCATGATATAAGTTGCCACATCTTGTATTTAGTGCTAATTGAGTTGTATTAGAAACAAACTAGTTGAATCCATATTGTTGTCATAGAAAATATGTGAAAAATTAATTAATTTTGTTATCGAATTCCATAATAGCCTATAACTGACTTCCATACCTTGCACTTTGCGGTGTGCCAAGTGATGTGGTGTAGCTAGGTGCACTTTTGACCTTGACGTGATTTGGCCAAGACACTAGAGGACGTTCACCTCAAGTCATTAGCCACTGTCTGGCTACCTGTAACACCAAATATTGCTTCCCATCAAAACCAAGTACTACTATTTACTACTGGCCTAATGCTTATTGGAGATAATACACCTTCAAAGCTCCACATAAATCCATCACAAAATGTCAAATTCATGAGCATGTTTCAAATGTCACCGTGAAAAACTTCAACATTAGAACTAAAGAATTCACCAATAATAGAGGAATCCAAACAAAACCTTGCAACAAAGGCCAAAGAAGAAAACACATTCTCCAAAAAGATTCACTGTAAATGATAGTTAGTAAATTTGAACTTCAGTAATAAAAATACAATGATAGTCCTCTCAAACAAACAACAATCTCATTTATCAAAGTTTGACTGGGCATTATTATAAAAATAAATAAATAAATAAAAACCTTCAATTAGAGCCAATCTTGATCAGTTATAATAGCACATGCGAGATGACTTCATTGCATGGTTAGTAGGCTCAAACCATCAATCCCTTCGCTTGTAAATTTGCCCAAAATCTCTGTTTGAATATCACAAATTAATTAGAAACTCAATCTAAAAGCAATGCGTGCAGCAGTGAATCTGACATTAGTGCTAACTGAGTTATATTACAAACAAATGGAGGAGATCTTCTTCTGTGTGACCTTACAGGTGTGAAACCAGCGGAATAAAAGTACTGTTCACACTAGCTCGTAGTTAACAACCTCTATGTCTGTCTCCGTCATGTTCAGGAATGGTTTTTGGAATTCGCAATTTGCAAGGACACTCAAGGTTCATGGCAGCGAAGTTTTATTAGTCGTGATTTGGAGCTATTTATTTGTTAGAGGCGCGGCTGCGGGTTGTAGGTTTCGAGGGTTTAGTTGAGCTTGGAGACGCTACATTGCCGACGGTGATGTTTTTGGTAGCACAAAATAGGGAAGCTTTTTTTTTTAATTTTTTTTTTGTTTTGTTTTGTTTTGTTTGTTTGTTTTTTTGTTTGTTGTTTTAATTTATTAAGGTGAAGGGGAAGGAGAATGGGTATGGCCGATGATGATGGCCAGGAGCATACCGAGCCCGAACAGTCGGCGTACTACTGGCCTGTGCTGGATTTTCAGACCCCTCCAGCTCGCCGCTACCATTTCTATAAGCAGATGTGGTCGCCGTCTGCTCACAACAATTTCTTCAAGGGGGCTAAGTGGTTAGTTGCATGATTTTTCGGATGAGATTTCTGTTGATTTTAAAATTAGTGAAGGTTTGATGAATCAAAATTTGTGAGTTATCTATTTTTTTAATTTATTTATTTTTGTTTTTATAATACTCTTACTTGCAGTGATTTAAGGAGAATGAAATTAGGTTGTATTTCATGATTTCGAATCTTTGAACTTGTAATTACTTTCGCAAGAGTTGAGAAGCGTGTGTGGTCTGAAACTCTCTCTCCATACAATGCCACGGCTGTGAAAAATATACTCGAATTGCCAATGCGGGTTCAGAACATTAAACCATAATAAGGGTTTAGTGTTAACTGGTGTTTTGCACTTGCAAGGTGAGGTCCTTGGTTATCTGTGATCATGATATTCTTTGCAATCCGCCTGATCACGGATTTGCTGAGCCGGAACTTTGCATTTCACCTGATGATCGATAAGATCATAAATATGAACATTCTGGGACCTGATAGAAAGATATGGATTCTGTAGAGGGATTTTAAGCATTTTTGTTCTATCTTTTCGCGTTTATGAATTTCAATGGTAGTTGTAGATGATTATGACCCAAGAATCGAGGGATGGATAGATGACTCCTGAAATTGATAAGGATCTGTGTCTGGCAGTTTGGCCTGAGTGGGTTTTTTAACAGATCATCGGTAGTTGAGTCGATTATGTAGTCAAACCGATGTGCCATATCACCATTTATGTATCTAATAATGATGCTGAAATCATCTTAAGCAGGTGTAAATTTTTTTTGAACTCCAATGCCTCGAGAGGATTTGATACCAACCCTGAGACCTGTTCTTGAAAATTTGAATCCTGTCTTTGCAGTTAGAGATCACTCAACTATATCAATGAGAATGCTTTAGTATACTCATTATCGATCCCTCTTATAGCAAGATGAGGGCACAAGCCGCTTCTTTTATTGATTAACACAGAAGATGTCCATTATATGATTACTGTGTTAGGGTGTCAATGTTGTCCAGTAATTGTGATGTTTCTGAAACTAGGCCACTCCTGGTTTTGGTAGGAGTTACAACGTCTCAGGTCTTGTTCTTGAACTGTCTACAGGTCTCCAGATGGATCTTGTTTCATAACAAGCAGCGAGGACAACAGCCTACGTATCTTTGATTTGTCAGTATACTTTGCCTACTTGTTCGCCTGAATACTGATTTTTCAACATGCTTCACCTTTTTTACGACTGCTTGAAGAACTGATATTTTAAGTTTTTAGTCCTTGTGAAGGTCTGCTCGCGCGATTCTTGGTTTATTTGGTTTTCGAAAAGTATCTTGCTACCTAGGTATCTGCTACTTGCTTGTTTGGTTTTGTAAAAACTAAAAGAGAACATGACATGCTTCTAGACCTTGCCTTATTTGGAAGAAACTCTTCTCATTATACAGGCCCAGTGACGTACTTGAGAGCGCAGTCTTATATGACAACGTCAAGTCTGATGAAGGTACTCAGCCCCCTTTTTTTAAGGTTTTGCAGATGTCAAGAAACTTACTTCCTGACTTCGTTTTTGAAATCATTCTGGGATATCGTTTCATTATCTCGGTTGTGGTTCAGCATAAGTATTCAGGTGAATAAGTAGGCTTTTACACGTATCATCGAACTGCAGCCGAGCTCTACTTTCAGGCTCTTGAGTTGCTACAACTGTGCTGATTCTTTGCCCGTCCCTCTTCAATCAGACTCCAATGGAGCAGCTTTGATTGTCGATGAAGGAGAGGCTGTGTATGATTTCTGCTGGTATCCTTGCATGACTACTACAGGTAGCTGCAATTTGCTTACCATTAAAATCTCACTGTAGTTAGTATTAAAATTTTGCAATCATTTAGAATTTTCTAATTCATCCTTGTTGAGAGATCTTCGGTTCATGCAAATATGAATGAAAGACATATGTACTTAAAAGCACGGCTCTGAGTTCGACCTCCTAGTTGCAATCGCCTGGTTAGTGTTGTAAAGTGCTGGAGGGTTTTGTATTTAAAATGTCGGAAAGATTACGAATTAGGGAGCGTTCTTACGATGAGAAGTAAATAATTGTTCACAGATTCATCCACATGTATATTTGCAACATCTACACGTGATCATCCAGTTCATCTTTGGGATGCTGTTTCTGGCCAGGTGGGTTTGTTAGTCTGGAAGTCCCGATTTTATGCATCTTTTATTATCTTTTCTGTCCTTATCTATCGTTCAGAATGAATGAAATATTGTAAATTTGCACCCGTTAAGTAGATTGCACTTCTGACCTTATTTACGCATGTTTTCGGCTTTGACAGCTTCGGTGCACATACAGAGCGTATGATGCAATGGATGAGATTACAGCAGCGTACTCCATTGCATTCAATAATTCTGGAACAAAGTAAGTCTTATCATGTGCATAAACTTATTTATTTTGATTGGTTTTAACTTACAGTAACTTATTGTATGGACGTGTTGTAGTAAGTAACGTTTACCATATCCTACAACATATCGAGGTGGATTGTCAAAACCAGTTAGGTATTTTGGGACTTACATCTTACTGGTGCCTAGCAGTACCCAAAGATTATTTGTACTATGAGCGTGGTGTAGTAAGTTTATTTGAATGAGTGGGCAGTATGAGATGACTGTTAATTTTATCTACGCAGGTTGTTTTGTGGGTACAACAAAACCCTGAGGATATTTGACACCTCTCGACCAGGGCGGGAGTTTTCACAGTACTCCACATTAACTAAGACCAAGGACGGCCAAACAGGTCAGTGGTAATGAAGTCCTGCTTAGAAGGATGTCTAACGCTTCGTTTATTTCCTATTAATATTTGATTTGTAGCTATTTTTTCTAGTTGTCATTGGAGTCATATCCCAAATTGTATGTGGTCGTGATAGTGTTTGAGTGACTATGTGATAGGTATAATCTCTTGTTTGGCGTTTAACCCAAGCTCAGAGGATCTATTCGCAGCAGGGTCCTACAACAAAACCACAGCTCTGTACAGCGAGCACAATGCAGAGCTTCTATTTGTTCTGCATGGGCAGGAGGGAGGAGTTACTCAGGTATACAAGCTTAGGGCGCTGAACTTCAGATTTTATGATTTCACCTGGTCAACATTTGTAGTTTCCTCGAAACAAATGTTCTAGTTGCATATGAATTGTGCTCACTATATGTGGATAATCATCAAGGCGTTCATAATTTTTTCCCTTAGTTTGTGCCATCGGTAACTTTTGTTTTAATTTTATGATTGTATTATTTCATCTTATTTTTCGCTATCTTCTGCTTTGGGATGAAAACTTTTAAGTCTACCCTACGTAACAGTTGGCTATTGAACACTTATGGGCATTCAGAGCGTTTTCCTCGTACTTTCTAGTTTGCTAAATTTAACTCAAGGGTTTTGATTCTGAGAAGAAATTCAAGAGCTGATTGTTCTTTGAATTTTGGATTGAAACGGATTCGTTTTGGTTGATGTTGCAGGTTTTGTTCTCTAAAGATGGAAATTATCTTTATACTGGAGGCCGAAAGGTAGCACCCTCACTCTCAATTGTAGATTCTTGCACTCTATTTAAGGATACCATCAAGATCTGGCTGTTATGTCTCAATAGCAAGTGCTTATCTACAGTATGCTTCTTTACTTTGTATTATGCCGAAGTGCATTTCTTCACGAGGGCGGTAATGTAGGTTTGCTTGAGTGATATTAAGTTGATTCTGATTACCTCGAGGTTCACACTTCCAGATTGCTCAGCATGCAAATCACGATGACTATTAGATTGTGCATTCTTCTGTTTGTGGAACTCACTAATGATTGGCGTATCTAATAGTAGTTGTGGGGCTGTTTGAGAAGGACCCTAACATACTATGCTGGGATGTACGGAACACAGCTGCCATTGTGTACAAGTGAGTTCTGAATGATCCCTCTTTGTTATTTGCTTCCTTCCATTTCAATGAAGGGCCGATCAATATAATCTGTGTTGGCAATGTAGTGGACATACGAGGGAGGCCGGTTTATACAAGAATTGATCATTGGTGAATTGGGCCTTTCTGATGGTGCCAATTCATCTCTGCCAGAGAATTTCATATTCTAAATGTGTTTTGCAGATTGCCTCGAGTAACTTCTGATACGAATCAGAGAATTGCATTCGATATCGAACCATGCGGACGCCATCTAGGAACTGGTGGCCAGGTATGAAGACATCATGTAAAAATTCCAGTGACGGAATGTGTTATGTAATTTGGTCACTTTAGTGTTTCCACCTGCTTATTTTTAATGATTATTGCAGGATGGGTACGTGCATATTTATGACCTTCAAACTGGCGATTGGGCAAATAGTTTTCAAGCAGCAGCTGGTATGATATTGAGGGTCTTCGAACTTCCTTTTTCTTCTTTCTTCTAGACAATTACAATGTATCAGCTGACTCATGGCTTGGTCAGTAATGGTTCTGCTTAGGTTACTATCATCTTTTTGCTTCGTCAATGATCTTGCCATCAATCGTCTTACAAGTGATCTTTGCATATGCTACTAAGAATATGATTCTGGTGGTATGTGCTGTGGATTGCAGATACTGTCAATGCGTTTAGTTTTCATCCTACGTTACCTGTGGGAGTCACATCGTCTGGTCACCGCCGGTTCAGCACGGATTACGATGACGAAGGCATAAGCAAAGAAACATCTTGCATTGGTAAAAATGGTGAGCCCTTCTAATATGCCTGTTATTGTGGTCCTGAAGTTTCCTTTCAGTTTAGAAACTTAGGAATAGCAAAACAATCCTGGTAAAATTTGAATAAGTCTCATAATCCTAACGCAGTTTATTTCTTTTGTGTTCCAGCTCAAGAAAATTGTGCCTCCGTGTGGTTGTTTCCATGTACTTGGCAATCTTCTATTGATCCCTCTAGTACTGTGGAGACAACAGAACTTGAAAATTTGCAGGGAGAAAGTTTAGGAACTTGGGAGGAAAATGTTTAGGCCGATGTGACTTATTCTAAAGTGGATGAGGTGTCTCAAGTATCCATCAATTTAATGGAAGTCAATGAAGCTGGAGTTTAGAACCTTCAGCTAGACAAGTATGTCCAATTCAATCTGCCTCCGTGTAGACCTTCTTTGACCCTTTTCTTTCAATTGTTGTGGTTAATGAGACAGCTTTCTAGAAGACGTTAATGGTAACCTTGTTTGTTATCTAAGTGATGGCAACTATTAACAGTTGAGCAGAGTAAAAGTAACAACCTCCATTATGCCGCGAGCGACCAACTGCACTCTGGTGGTTTAAGTCAAGTGGTAGTCATGGGTTGACTTAAACCACTTGACTTGAACCATCCCCAAGCGGTCTGGTGTGAAGCTAACGAACCCATGATATCCTCTTGCGACAACTCAAACCACTTGACTCAATCCACCAGAGTGCAATTGGTCCGCTATTCCCTTTATCCACTACTTTCCTGCTGAGGGATTTGATTGAGCAATTCCAGCTCAAGCCTTAAGAACTCAGCAATGTAACGGATTCTGAGCCTAGCAATCGATAGTATGAATGCTGACTTGTCACTTTGCTGGAAGTTGAGTTAATCGTGTAGACTCTTATTCCTACAATTTTTCTCAGCAATACTGCCACCGAGAAATTCTTACGGAACCTCAGTTGAAGCGTTGGCCTTGACCCCAGTTTTCAGGTATTCCCACATCGTTCCTGCAAGTCGCTACACGCCAAAATTTGAGTTTTATAACACACGCTTTAAAAGCTCCGCCCTAACAGAAAGATATAAACTCTGCTCATACGGATCATGAGCATCCATAGTGTGTCCTGTTGCGGTGTGATTAGTTTTCAGTAGTAGGCGGTGGAGGAAGGAAAAGGGGCGGAGAATAATTGGGAGGAAGAGAAAGCAGAAGTCATTATAAAAGTGCTACTCGTGGAAGTTCAGCAGAGAATGTACCTTGCAAAGAAGGAAAACAAGCAAAATGAAATGGAGATTATTGAATTCATGGAGGTGGGAGGCATTTGAATCTGATTTATAGATGGATGGTATGCTTCACAATAACATTTGATCACAACAGTTGATATATTATTTTAGGCCCAAGTATCTTTTCTTCGGTTTAGTAGGCTTTGCAATCCTATTCCTCAAAATAATTGGACATGCTAAAATATTTTGGATTTATTTAAACTTATGGTTTGAATAAACATGTATTATAAACATACATCAGTTGTGTAATTGAGTTTATTTTTTGAGTAGTTGTACTATAATAGATTTTACTTGTCAAAAACAAGTCATAATGTTACAATTTGTGTCTCCTTCCACAACACTCTATATTGTGCATTAGAATAATATACTACATCTATGGAATAGGATCTATGGATATCGGTTAAATAAGAAAATTGAAAGTACAAGAAATATAATATCTCTTTGATAAACTCCACATTGTGCCAATTTGCGTTTTATGGATGTATATATATGTATTGACAACAAGTTTACCAAATAAGAAAGTTATTTTTGTAAGCATTGCAATTCTAACCAACAACAAGTATTATTTTAATTTTAATTCAACATTAATAGTTATAGTACTATTTATGCACAAAAGTTTTATAAATATCTCTATGTTATTTTTTATTAAATAATATATATTATTACATATATTATGACGATTTTAAGATATAAACATAAAATACAGTGATATACAAACTTGTACAAAGATTTTGATTTTTTCAACAATTATTATATTTTGAGATTTTATTCCGTTTTAATATTTTTAACAACTTAAAAGTATATTATCAATACTAAACATGTTTTTGTAGTGTATGAAATCTTGAAATTTTCTTTTATTTGATTTATTAGACAATGTAAATAATTTACATTGGTTTGATGATCAGAATTTGATTAATTAGACAATGGAAATAATTTACATTGATTTGATGACCAGAATTTGATTAATATACTGTTAAAAATAAAATGTCATGTATATTTTTTAGAACCTAAAATATGCTATCAGCAATTGAAAATATAATTCTATTAGGCAAGGCTTATAAAATACGTTTTTTTTCTTATTGTGTTTAAATACTATATAATTTTATTAAAGAAAGTAATTTGATTGTATGTAATTAACATGCATATATTATTTTAAAGTTATTATAATTTCTAGAAATTGCTTAATAATTTTAAGGCTTCTTATTAACAATTTTAAATAAATAAAAATGTACCAATTAAAACTACTTAAGCTCCATTGAAAATTTTGACTCCTTTACTTTTTAACTTTTTATTTTTTAAAATTAAAATTTGAAATATTATTCAATAAATAATAACTTAATTGTTTTAAGTATCATAAAATCGTGGTTTAAGGAAAAACCTTATATCATAAGAAACTAAATATATACATCTTTGTATATTTAAAAATGGTCTGATTTTTGTTAATTCCATATGCTAAGTTACTACTTCTATTTCTAATTTAATCAATTGGAAGTAATATAATTTCTAATATATGATATGAATATTTTGAAAAAATATTTAATATTTGTGTTTTACATATTATCAGTATTATTTTTTTGATTTATAGAAAGAGATAGTATTTTGAAAAAACTTAATAGAATTTGTTACGGTTAATGAGCGACAATATAAGTATAAGTTTAAACAATAAAAAATAAGAATGTAGAATATTTTAGAAAAATATACATTATATAGTTATTAATCTTAAGTTCAGTTATTGATAAAAATGGATACTTTCAAAGTATTATTTATGATTTTTTAGAAATAAATTGTGGAAAAAAAAGCTACAAACAAATTCTTCTAAACAATATTTTTAATAAGCTTGATTCTTTCAACAAAGACATTAATGGCATAGATGAAATATTTGGAATTAACCATCACGAAAGCATAGTTCTAATTTTAGTTTAAAACAACTTATTAATATTGCCACAAAAAAATCTTTGGTGAAAATAATATATAAATATAAATAATAATAAGAAGAAAAAATTATCTATAGAAATATTTTTTAAAAAATTAGAATAAATTAAAATAAAATTAAATAAAGAAAATAGAAATTTATACCATCTACTAACTAAAATCATTATTAATGTGTAATTTGGTTTTTTAAATGCATACATATAATCACATATAAATATAATAATTTATATACTACATTTATATACTAAAAATAATTAAAATATTTTAAAAACTTAAAATCTTCAATTATATATTTTCTTAATATGTAAAAAATATGGGCTTTAATATTCATAGATGAATCTAATTTTGCATAAATACAGGTATGTATTTAGGATGCAAACATGAAGAATAATATATATATATATATATATATATATATACATATATATTATTTTTTAATAAATACATATCAAATTATAAATAACATTAAATGTTTGACTAGAAACAATGTAATATTCAATCTACTCTATAATTTGTATTGGCAATACTAATATGGCCTTGCTCTTTATTCGTACCATAGCAATTAGATTTTATAAAAGTTTCTAAGAAATGTTCTAAGATTTGCAGAATAATATGAAAATCTAAATCATCTTTTATAGATACTTTTAAAAATACTAAGGAAGTTTTAAGTAATCATAAAAGTCTATAAAATATTTTAAAAGAAAATGAATGTAACAAATATTCAAAATAATAAAATAAATGAATATAATTAATATTAAATAAGAGAATATTAGATTAACAACATGTATAATTAAAAAAATAAATAAAGAAAGAATAAATAAATAAATAAACTCATTGCTTGGAGATTAGATTTATTGATTTTTTCAAATATTCCATGTAGCAATAGAAATTGTTTTTGAATGTTCTTACTTCTAAGTTCTTGTAAAAACATGTAAAAACATAGATGCTTGATTGATAAGTGTTTTGGTCCTTATAAATTCCATATGACTTTCTTGTTAGTTAGTATATGTAAAATTTGTAGATGACAAATTCTTATCTCTTAAAAGAACTTTTTATGAGACCTTTCTTAAAGAAGTAATTAATTGTTATTATGATATTTTGATAATATTTCACATTATAAATTGACCATATAATTGTATTATATTAAGTCTATTTTAATTGAAATAACATAATTAAACATCATCTAATCTTTAAATTTTTTACAAAATAAAATAATTTACAAGAATAATCATACTTTAAATTTTAAAATAAGAATCTTTATATATTAGAAGTAGAGATTTTACATGAGCTTTAACAAAAAATTAAGCTACATCTATTTTTTATATACTATTATATTCTTAATCAAGTAGAAGTTATTGAAGAATCTTAAAAATATATGTAAATTATTTAGATATACTTAAAAAAATAAATAAATTTTTTTTATCTATATATTATTGTTATGGTTAAATAATTGATTTTCAAGAATAAGCTCAACTTTTATTTGAACCAATTTACAACTAATTACAAAACAAACTAAACATCTTTACAAAACACATCAAAAAAATCTTGTAAATTTGATTCACTTGACATTCAAAATTTTCTATAAATGTGCTTGTTATGAACTTGTAATAAAAAAATCTAATCCTTGCAAATTTGTGTAGATTATTGTGTGTTCAATGAATTAAATATCAAATAATATTATTTTTTAGACTATTTATAAATATACATATATATATATATATATATATATATATATATACATATATATATATATATATATATATATATATATATATATATATATATAGATATATATATATATATATATATATATATATATATATATATAAAGAATTTTTGATCAATTAAATAAAATTAAGATTTATAATAAATAAGTAAATTTTAACACCTAATTGATTTTTTTCATATATCAAATATTATCATAATTATATTTGAATCATTAAATTATATTAATTAAAAAAATATTAATTTTATTTTAAACTATAACTAGAGCTTGCAATATAGAATTTTTTTAAGAATATGTATTTTATGTTTGATTTTAATAATTCTTTTTTATAAATAGGATAGATATATGTACTAGATAAAAAATCCAAGAAAAAACTTAATATGTTAACTTGGCAATGAAATCAACATTGACTATTGATTCAACCTTTGTCAAATAAATTCAATAAAGTATGTCCTCTGTTCTTCTTGTTTATGATATTA